AGTTCGTAAGCTTCGTCATAGGTCAAGCTCAAAACATACCGCCAGCTGCTGAATCGAGCACCGTTCTCGAATTATCTTGCAATCCATCATAAAATATTTGAAGTTGCCGCCACTCTTGAAGTCCGTGATTTGGGCATCTCCGAATTAATTGTTTGAACCGCTCCCATGTCTCGAATAATGCTTCACCGGCTTCTTGTATGAAGTTTTGTATTTCTCTCCGGATTCTCTCAGTTTTGGTTGGGGAGTTGTATGTATTCATGAAGAGTTATGCTAGCTGGGGCCAAGTCGAGATGGAGTGCGGTGCACGAGTTTGCAACCAATCTCGGGCTGCTCCTTGTAAAGAGTGCTTGAACAGGCGGAGTTGCAGTGTTTCGGGTGATACTCCGTTCATCTTGTGCGAATCACACGTTTCGAGAAAATTGACCAAGTGGACATGCGGATCTTCATGAGCTAACCCGTTGTTTTGGAGCATAGTAAGGAGTCCCGCTCGAATTTCGAAATTGTTGGCTTCAATAGGGGGCTGTTGGATGCTTGATTGAAACCCATTGAGTGTTGGAACGGTGTACTCATGCAATGCTCGTTGACGAGGTGGTGGATTAATTAGTTGAAGTTGCTCTTGCTCGTTGACGATATTTCCTGCCGCATTCGGTAGGCGCCCTTGGTCATCTCCCCTACGATTATTCTCTTCTTCCATTGTCGCATAAAAAGTACCTAAAACAATAAAAATAAAATAATTAAATAAAATAAATAAAATGGCTGAAGTAAGAAAAATTGCTCAAATTTAATATTAGAATAAATAGATAATTTAGCCATATTCCCTGGCAACGGCGCCAAAAACTTGTTGGGTGCTAAATACCTAACACGCAAGTGCACGTATCGCAAACAAGTAGTAAAAAGTGGACTCGTGAGAGTCGGATGTCGATCCCACAGGGAATACTCAAATTATCTAATCCTAAGTACCAAATTCTAACAATTATGATTTTTATCCAGCCTACGCAAGTTTGTCAAATTAAATCAATTAAACAACTAAATTAATTAAGAAAGCAAATAACACGAGAAAATATCAATAAAAACAGACCTAGGATTTTATCTTCCCCTATGCAAGAATTGCTCACCCAAAACCCCTCAATTATGAAATATATGATTCATGATTATTAACCCGGGACACTAATTTACTCATAACCCGCTGTCGCGTGTATTATACTTCTAATTTAATTTAGTTAAAAAGATAGATTCCCAAGGACTTCCACTAAGACTCTCAAACACTTTCAACTTTTTTCTTCCACTTCAACATGTTTGTCTTTTCTCTTCTTATTTATTTTCCACCTCTCCACTTCTCCACCCAGTTTTATCTCTCCCCCTTTCTACCAAATATTTGTGGCTTCATAAAATGTTAGTTATTTTGCAATTTCTTCTCTCTTAGAATGTTTCGGTTTATGTTCTTTATTATCATCTGACGGCTCATTCTACTCATGTTTTTTGTTCAGAGTTCATATAGTGATTCGATTTTTACAGTGACATTGCCGTTGGAAAAAAAAGTAAAATAAATCTAATTTTCGATTTTTACAATGACATTGTCGTTAGAAAAAAAAAGGTAAATAAATCCGATTTTACAGTGACATCGTTTTACAGTATATTTTTGGAACATTTGAATTTTATTTCTTCATACCTACGGCTTCTTCTTTTTGGTAAATACCACCCGCCTTTAGATTTTTTGTCTTATTTTCTTTTTCATCCTATCGACTGTGTAGTAATTTGTTTGCATCTTTTTTCACCATAAAAGATATTGTTATGTTATGGTACTTTGACAAGATTTATTTCAGTACCTCGAAACAATTACAGAACATTCTCATTTTTAAATCTTGAAAGACTTCCTGCATTCTTTCAACTTCTCTCTTCCAATTTCTCCCAGTAATTATTTCCCCTAAACTCAGTTTCCCTTTGTAACTCAGTTTCCCTTTGCCAGGTAAAGTTTTCTACCAATAATATTTGTTTGCGCAAATTCTTTATGTATTTATTATATTGTTCGATTTTCATACAATATGGTACAAAAAGCGACCAAAATGGCACAAACAACGACAAACCTTATTGATCTTAAGTCGTGTCGATTGACTGGAAAATGGTGGTTCGAGTCATGCGTCTGTGCAAAGTTCCTAGCAAAGGCAATCCAAATGAAGTGATCAGTATCGATATGGTCTTAATAGACAAGAAGGTCGTTATTGAGTTAAACGTTTATTTTGCTTATGGTTAATATAATATTTTGATGTAATTTCTAATACGAAAACATATGTTTTTTGTAGGGTGTCAAAATCCATGCTTCTATAAAACGGAATCACTTGAAAAAAATTGAAATTATTGTGAATGAAGGTAATACATACATATTCCAAAATTTTATGGTGGCTCCAAGCGATCCAAAGTTCAGACCAACTCGCCATACTCACAAGATTGTGTTTATTAGCACTACTCGAGCACTACTTGTTGTCACTTTCAATTCTACAGATTTTCGTGATATCATAAATAACTGGAATGATACATGGCTTATAGATAATTTCATTTTGTTAAATTATGTGTTTCATTAATTTATACCAAAGATTTCAAATTTTTTGTTTAACAATTGTTTCCTTTTAAATGTTATTGGACATGTTATAAAAAGGGATGATTTGAAAGAACTAAGCAAAAATTGGCGGAGCCAAAAGGTATTCGAACTCGGCCTTCAAGACTTATCGTATGTATCCGATATTTAATTTATTGTTTATATTTACTTTTGTTTTTTTTTAAATTTACCAATTGTTATTTCCAGTCACAACAAAATTAGATGTGCTCTATGGGACGAATATGCTGATCAACAGTCCACGCATTTGATCAATGACAAATTGAATGGCCCTGTCATTATTAATTATTATTATGCAATTGTGCATGGTTAAAAGTTAAAATGGTAAGTACTTATATTTACTTACATGTTGATTAGATAAAATTATAATCTATTTTTAATGATTTATTTTATTGTAGGCAAAAATAGTAGTTCCAATGTTTTACACAGCACAAAGTTACTAATAAATGAAAACTTGGAGGAACACATAGAGAGTACAGAGAAAAAGTGAGTTTGTTCAACATAATAAATATTATTTTAATTTTTATACTATTTCATAATTTTTTGTTATATATTTGTACATGAATATAGATTGATGATGCAAGCTGGAACATTTTCTCAATCAATTAGTCAAATATAAACTCAACGGTACGTTGGAATTTCTGATGATTTACTCCAGGCAGAGCATATGACAGTCAATAATTCAATGGATTGCACAAGTGTAAATATATTATCTTTTGTAGGCTTATTTCATAAATCATATAAGACTAATGTAAAACAATATTTCATGAACGTTGTGTTGCTTTGTTGGCTAAAGTAGTAGAAATAGATTGCGAGAATAAATGGTGGTATGCATCGTGCTCAAAATGTTTTAAGAAAGTTGATCGTAATGGTGTTCAATTCTATTGTGAGAAGTGTTCCAAGACAGTTCCTGCTATCCCTAGGTAATTGAAATTTCAATTTGCTCCAAACATCTTTTATGCATTTAATTTTTTTATGTTTAATTATAAACAAATTATTACTGCAGATCATAGGTGATGAAGGATGTTAATGGATCCATTTCATTGGTGATGTTTGATAATGTTGTTAGCCAAATCATAGCCAAGAAGGATGCAGACATTTTTTGCGATTTGAAAAAGGTAAATATTAAATTTAATATGCTTATGAAATGGTAATCTTAAGTTAAATATAATGTTTTCTTTGTCATATGCAGTTATATGAACACTCTACGCCTCGCAAGATTTCATTATTTTTCTTAACGTTCTGATTATGTAAAAACAGGACCAAAAAGAGGCAGTGGAGAAGTGCTTAGTTACGATGCAAAATCTAGAGATGGCATTTTCCGATGGTATGTTGTCGATAGATTAGTTTGGATTATGATAAATAAGTTATTAAATCTAATTACGTTTAAGATCAACATGTAAGACATAGTTAATAATTTTGTTCTTGGTTTATTTTCAATCTACTGGTATTAGTTGATTCAATGAATTTGGAAAATTATTTAACGGTAAAGTTATTTACTTATATTTTATTTATTTTTTTGGGTAGTATACTTAGTTTATTATGTTCCAATAATGAATTATTAATAAATGATTATAACATAATTTTGATCACACGATACATCAAACGTTTTTTATTAATTATTACAACATCAAAATATGCAATTTGTTGTCCCGTGCATCGCACGGGTACAATTACTAGTTTATCTTATATTCTAATATATATACTATAACAAGTTATCAGAACGAGGTTTTGCTCGAAAAGGAGTTTGCTACATTCGTTATTTTTTTCTTACTTTATTGCACGAAGATCCAAATCCTCAACACTATTGTCAAAGGGACAACAAGAATGATGAATAATAAGGTATTTTATACGCTATCGCTTCTCAAACGATACCAAGGACTCGCGTGTATATTTAGAGTTCATATTTTGTTATATTGAATTGCTAGTGAAAATTACATTTGCAAGCTTGTGGATCCCATGCATTGCTATAAGCACGTGCAAATCTTTAACAAATCTGAGTGTGATGCTCGTGGAGTTGAAGAGAGAATAATTTCCGTTAAAAGCCAACTTAAAGGCTATCAGGAGACCATAAAGGAGTCGTAAATATAACTCCGAGCCAAAAGACTCATCGAGTCGAGATTTGGAATCGCCGTCAAGGGAATGAATATAGCTCCGAGAAAGATTATGATGAAAAATCCAAGATTGTGTTAAACCATGTTTACTTACACCCGCAAAAAATCTATTAAGAACCCGAACTTTATAATAGCATTGATCCGAACCCGCCCAACCAACATATGAATTCAAAGGGTCCAACAACAAATCATGCCTACAACCACCGGAATCTGGATAGAAAAGAAAAAAGTCTTGATCGATCTTCATGATATTTTACACATACATTGACAAAAAATTATCTCAAAACTCAAACATAATATTATAAATGCTATATATGTGTTATGTGAAGTGCACACCATAAAATTGTCACTAATCAAATCTAAAAACTTCAACCGATAACTAGCTTCTAACTCAAAACATTCTTCAACGGAAACGGGAAAAGTTGGAAACCTTAAAAACACGATTCAAAATATTTATACATATGCACATTATACGGTCAATCGGCCAGGTCTGGGTCGATTTCTATATAACTCACAGCCTAGTCCGAATCTGTCCGGGTGTAAAACTCTGCTAGGTCTAAAACCCATTAGACTCAGACTCGTTGCTATCTCGCTTATGAAGATGGTTTCAATATCTCATGCAAATAGAGTTCTGAGTTAGAGACTGTTCGTGATTATTGAGCCAGCAAAATCTGTAAAAACATGAACACAATAGCTCGTGTTATTATATACTGACACGGTACATAATGTGGCAACTCGTTGTAATACAATATCCACCCTTTGACAAGAAACATGTTTCAAAACCACATTGATCCATTCTTGGCTACATTTCTAGCTAGATGAAAAGAGAACGAGTAGCAGGTTTCGATAAAATATTGTACTTTTATGACCTAATTTATAGTTGTTTATAAGCCTGTGAGCCGGTTTTTTGTGCGCTTTTCAATTTTCTTTATTATTACATACATAAGTAATATATATTATTAAAAATATAATATATATACATATAATATTAAACAATTCAGCTCGAATGGCTAGTGGGCTTCTAACTTTCTGTCTTTAAGTTTTTATTATATTATTTACTAACACAATATAATAATAAAAATTTGAGCTTGAGCTCGAACTCGAGCTAGTTGCACCCCTAATTAGAGAATTTTTAGTTCTAATAGGAAGTACAACAAGCAAGAACTACAGGAAATAGGAATACTACATGCAAATTCATAGTAGCAAATATTATATGAGAAACAGTGTATTCCAGTGCGAAAGAGAGAACATAGAGATAATCTTGAAAGGGTGTTATGTACGTACGAGGGCATTAGAACCATGCAATCTGTTGTCTGAAAAGACAAATTTCAATTTCCAGACATCAATTTCGATCGCATCTGCCGAGTGCTCAGTCACGGCTTGCCTGAAACCATTAGAAATAATGAGTTATTGGGAAGTCAAACAGTGTTTACAGTCAAAGAAATCAAACCAAATGCAAGATAACTGATACATCTAACAAGTAACAACTAAAACTATCAAGTCTGAGTAATGAAGGAAGAATAATTTGCTCCAAAATTGATTTATTTTCACTACCACAAATTCCAATTCTGTGACCTTAACACAAATTCATTGTATGAACTCCAAAAATACTTTAACTGTAGGCAATTTAAAAACGTATCATACATAATTCAATCAGTCTCTATCAGACAACTGCATATTATCAAATACTGCAATTCCAGAACCCGAATAAATTTAGCCTAGAGTGAAGTGAGGGGGTTATTCCTGAATCGCAAAATCAATCCCCAGACAACATTAGAGGAAGATGAATATTCAATTTTTTTTGACAAACTCAGGCGTTAATGTTATCAGGTTTGGACAAAATGACAATAGACGCTTTTTGGATATTAAATATCTGTAAGTATTAATTTATTAACCAAAGGGATCAAAAGGCATAAAAGACAAATAGTAGGCAAAATCAATTGGAGTATATAACAGGAAAAGAATTTGGTACTTTACCTTAGAAGTGTGTTTCAATTTCTTAGGTCTAGTCCTGCAATCATTCGGCTGGAAACTACTGCTACCAAAATCTCGTAATGGGTGATATTTCACGGAAGCTAGCTCTTCCTTAGCTGCATTAAGCCTTCTTTTTTCTATTCGCTGCAATAGAGCAATAATAAATGTCTATATAACATCCACCAAAACAGTCATTTAATGCACACACACACACACATATATATATATATATATTCTTACAAGGGCCTTATCAAACCCTGCGATCTGCTGCTTGCAAAGGTTAAGCTCCATCTCAAGGGAATTGACCCGAAACTCAATAGGCACACTGCTTTGCTGAACTATCTGTCTTTGTCTGCCTCGAATAATCTCTGGCTGCCAAACATTTAACGCAACAGAAGCTTGCCTGAAACATCACAAGAAAAAAACGATAGTTAAACTTCTAAACCAATGTAACGACAAAGAGCAAGAATTTACAAGTAAAAGAAATCACACCGAGGTTAAAAGGCTAAACCAAAATCCGACACAAGTACTGAGACATAGACTAAAGAAGTACAGCCTTATTATGAACATAAAAAAAACCATTCAACTCATACTCAGCACACTTCGGATTCTTTTGCTTAAAACCAACCTCTGCACAAAAACTTCGAAACTAAATTGCACACGAGCATCAATAACATTTTCTCAAACAGCTCAATGATATCAACATAATATTTCCAGAAAACCGTAAACTGTATGATCATAGCTATATCTGCACAAAGGACAACCTCTTTACCTGATTCTACGTAGATTGACCAACTCAGAAACTGCCTTATTCAATTTCTCTTTCTCCTCAAAGGAGTGGTGCTCAATCTCCTGAATTTTCCTCGAACGCTCAGCTATTTCACTCTCGATTCTCAGAACAGCTCTTCTATGCGCTAGGCGCTTTTGTTCTCTACCCCTCGCATACCTATCGCATTTTTTTGCAACAAAACAATCAGAAATAATAGTAATAATAAAACCTATGAGGCCATAATACCAATAGAAAGCCAAGATATATGCACACAAGATCCCTTTTTTCTTCACTATTATCAAATAATTTTCTACTCCTCCATTAATTAACAGTGGTTCTAAATTTCGGATTTAAAGTTGAGATTAAATTATGTGTAATAGATGGCGGAAAAGAAAAAGACCTGATTTGGTAGAGGCTCTTAAATATGCCGTTGGAAGTTGAAGAGGAGGTGTAATTGACATCAAGAGGGAAATCGGAAAGAAGAAGAGGAGACCAGAGAGTATCGTCTCCGGCGAGGCGGTGGAGGCGGCGGCAGGTGATGGAGAGGCAGCAGAGGCTCTTGTGATCTAGGGTTTTGGATTCAATCCCAATTTCCATTATTCTTCTCCATAGTTCGTCTGGTAGCACCCACGTCATCTTCAACCTCTGATATCTCTCTCTCTCTCTCTCCTCTCTCTCTCTCTCTCTCCCTCTGAAGTCGCGGGTCTTTCAACTCTGGAGTGAGTTTCTTCAATTTGCAAAATATTATTTTGGGCCTTTTTTATGTGAACTTTCATTTCAATATTCGCCCTTTTTTTTTTTATTATTATTATTTTATTATTTTTATTATTATTATTATTATTATTATTATTATTATTATTATTATTATTATTATTATTATTATTATTATTATTATTATTATTATTATTATTATTATTATTATTATTATTATTATTATTATTACTATTATTATTATTATTTTGCCTCGTGCGTTGCACGGGCGGCTATTGAAAAAAAATATAAGATAAACAAAATTAGAAATTAGTAAAATATATGACATGTACAATAGCAAAACAATGGTACACCGAAAATGTAATTTCATTAATTGCGATCATAATCAATATATCTATTTTAACAATTAAATTTAATATACATATTTGTGGTAAAAAAAAAAAGAAAAAAAAAAATTAGTGCTGGAAAGGGAAAAAAAAAGTAAATAATTAAAAAGAAAAAACAAACGTGAAGAAAAAAATTCAAAGTTGATCGTGTTTAGTGGGGAAGGGAAAAAAAAGAAAAAACGAAAAACAAAATAAAAAAACGTGTCCTACAAAAAATGTGAGAAAATTTAGTGCTTGAAGAAAAAAAAAGAAGAAAAGAAAAAGGAAAATAAAATATTTAAAAATAAAAAATGTGAAAAAAAATTGACTGTGTTTAGTGGGGAAGGGAAAAAGAGTAAGAAGAAAAAAAAGGAAAAGAAAACAATTAAAAAAACCGAAACGTGTTCGATAAAAGAGGAAGAAGAAAAAAAAAAATTGAAAGTGCTATTAAATAAGAAAAAAATAAAGGAAATAAATATCTTACAAAAATATTTATAAAAAAAATTGCTTTTAGAGTTTCGGGCTAACATTTCTTTTATATATAAAGATTATTATTATTATTATTATTATTATTATTATTATTATTATTATTATTATTATTATTATTATTATTATGTTCATACATAATTTATATTAGTTTTTTTTTTTAAATGACTCGTTCGAACTCGTATCAATATTTTTTTTTTGGTAATGAATAAACCCGCAATCAACCATATATGTGCATTAAGTAACCGAGTTGAAAGAATTCAATGCCTCCGAATTCGTGTAAAATAATATCAATCAATATAAAATGAGAGACTTCTGTCAAACAAGACAGACCAAAAACTTGTTTCGAGAAAGATTATGCATCAGAATATTGACACAAGTTTTAGTCATTATCCACAAGTATATAACTTGTCAATCGTGACTTCATAGGCAACAATATTCAAAAGAATACAGATGAGAAGCTAAGATCTTCTATTCTAAGAAGAAATCACGAGTTGATTTCTTCGTAAATCAATTCCTAAAATTTAGAACAATATGACTTAGCAGCATTCTAGGAATACAAACCAGTATTCAATGATATTGAATCCAAAACAGACTTAATTATGTAGTGAGAAATCCATAAAGAAAACAAGGTATTGTAAAATATGTTCAACACCTAGAGTTCTTTGCTTTCAACTCTCTGTAGAAAATGTGAACTGGAATCTTTTAATATTTATACGGTCCATGATCTTCATAACCTATATGTGATAAAAATATTTATCCATTAAGCTCAAATAACTGCCCACTAAGAGGGTGTTTGGCTAAACTTATAAGATATTAAAATGAGCTTATGAGATGTTTTAGAGCTTATAAGCTCTTCCAAAGTGTTTGGTAAATTTTTAGAAAAAGATCTTAATTTTTTTTTTTAAAATAAGCTGTTGGAGAGCAAATAAGATCTTTTTAAATAAATACATCTACCCCACCTTTTTATTTAGGGTAAATTACAAACACCTCCCTAAGGTATAGTCAAATTACAAAAATACCCCTCTTGTTTGGATAATTACAACCACCCCCTCAACTCCTCAAATTTAGTGGAATCTTCGAGATTATATGGAATATTATCACTTTTGTACCCGTTTTATCCCATTCAAACTCTACATTATGAAGCAAGATGATCATAATATGTGACTTTTAGCTTGTATATATCAGTTTGTGGTGCATCGGAAACTGCATTTTTACACAAAACGAGTACAAACTAGCTAGAGCACATTGCACGGAATCTAGATGATTATGTTGAATTTGGCACCATAAGGGTGGAGGTGTAAGAAAAAGTCATAGTTGAGGGGGGTAGTTGTAATTATCCAAACAAGAGGGGTGTTTTTGTAATTTGACCATACCTCAGGGGTGTTTGTAATAATAATTTACCCTTTTATTTAAGATCTTATAATGAGTAAAAATAGGAAATAAGCTCATTATCCAAACACTCTGAAAATTAATCGTAAAAATAAGATGTAACAACTTATCAGCTCTTAAAACATCTTATCAGATGTAAGAGCTTATCAGCTGTTTAAAATAAGCTTAGCCAAACACCCTCTAACTCTAAATAATACCGGATTAAAATAATAAATCATATAATAATAATACTTTCGGAAATAATAAAAATTGATTTAAGAAAGTCAAAAAAATTAAATTATATTTGACTCAAAAGTCAAATATTCAACACGAGTAAACTTACATTTTCGTATAATAATATGAACCTGCAGTTAACCATATAGATGCATTGAGTTAACGGATAAACTTGCACTCACGTTTGCAAACCATACAAGGGATGTAAACGACACTAGGCTAACCATAGATAAGAAAAAAAAAAAAAAAAAAACCCCTCATCTCTTATGTAATTGTCTATATTGAACTAATAACTTTACCCGCAAATCGCAATAACATTTTTTTAGTATATAGTTTTATTAATATATATGCATAGTTGCATAGAAAAAAAAAAAAAGAATTACATGGTTGCTATCACATAAATTCTTCTGCAATAATTCTAACAAATGTATTTCTTAAAACTAAAATAATTATCTTAAGTTTGTCTTAAAAAATGTTTATTCTCATCTCATTTTGTAGTATTACTAGCAATTCACCTTGTGCAATGCACGGATTAGAATTTTGCTAGCGGATTTGCAAATTTAATTTACTATGAAGGTTATTAGACAAAAAAAACTGAAAACCAGGAGATGAAAAATATACTACTAAATTAATATTAAAAAAATTATAAATATACATTAGTGTTTCTTAGGTTGCCCTAGCAATTTCTTACTTTTTATATATAAGATTTCATTTCATGATATATTTTGTTCTTTAAAAATAGATACTTTCAAAAATATTCACAGCCCTTAATACAAAATTTAGTTGATTTAAAATTTAAATTAAAATTCATATAAGATCATAATTTTCTAATTTCATTGGAGAAAATTAGAGTATTATATGGTGATAGGGAAATTGTTGACCATAGTCTTGTTATTCTCGTACCTCGTATTTTTCGAAATGTCTGTTGTAGCCTAGAAATGACATCAAGGAAACTGCTCCACCTCCACAATATCAATCCAAGAACCCACAGCTCTCTTCGGTATCACACCAACTCATCGACCCTTTTCGCCCCGCCATTTTTGCCGAAGCCGCCTTCAGTTCTAGCCACCACTGTAATCAAATCGTACTTCGAAATGGGCCTCGTCAAAGAGGCTCGCATCCTGTTCGACGAAATGCCTGACAGAGACGTGGTTGCTTGGTCGGCCATGATCAGTGGCTACACCTCCTGCAACTCCCACGCGAACGCTTGGAGAATGTTCCAAGAGTTTCTGAGGGATGGGGCGGGCGTGCAGCCCAATGAGTACACCTTCTCCAGTGTGCTCAAGGCGTGTAAAAACATGGCCTCGCTCTCTTGTGGCGCGTTGGTTCATGGTCTGGCGCTCAAGCATGGCGTGCTCGGCAAAATTTACGTCGAGAATGCACTTATGGATATGTATGGCACGTGCTGCGATGGTATGGAAAGAGCGTGCGCCGTTTTTGAGGAGATTCGAGTTAAGAACTCGGTGTCGTGGACTACTTTAATTGCTGGTTATACTCACTTGGGAGATGGCAATGGTGGGCTCAAAGTGTTTCGACAGATGTTAGTGGTACGTAAAAACAACCAATTGTTACTTATCAGCCTTCAAAAGTTCTCGTGATTGTGTAAGATTACGGCATAGTGCAATTGGGTTTTCAATCTTCTGATAAGTCACAGATAATCAAGAACTAGAAGTTCTTGAATTTTTTTTCTACTAATAAACACGAGTTAGGTTCTTGCTAAACGATTTTAACTAACTTGGAACAGTTGAAATTGAATCTTGTATTTCAAACAAGTAAAGTTTACGTTTACACGCTCTCGTCTGTTTTATGCTGACAGGAGGAGGCCGAACTAAATCCTTACAACGTTTCAATAGCTATTAAGGCTTGTGCTTCAATCGGCTCGCAAGCGTACGGCAAGCAGATACACGCCACGGTATTCAAGCGTGGCTTCGAAACAAGTATTCCCGTAATGAATTCTATCTTAGACATGTACTGCAGGTGCATCGGTTTGATCGAAGCATATCGATGCTTTAAAGGGATGAAAGAGAGAGACATAATCACATGGAACACAATGATTGCAGGATATGAAAAATCCGATCCACACGAATCCCTCAAACTATACTCGGTTTTGGAATTCGAAGAAGGCCTCAATCCAAACTGTTTCACATTCACCTCCATGATAGCTGCAGTGGCTAACATGGCAGTTTTAGGGATCGGAGAACAATTTCACGGAGGGATTTTAAGAAGAGGCCTCGAGAACGACATGGGAGTGGCAAACGCTTTAATCGACATGTACGCTAAATGTGGAAACGTAATAAATTCGTGCAAAATTTTCGACGAGATGGAGGCTAAAAACGTCGTTTCGTGGACCTCTATGATGGTTGGATATGGAAGCCATGGGCTTGGAAAAGAAGCTGTTGAATTATTCGATAAGATGGTTCAATCGGGAGTTAAGCCCGACCGGGTTGTCTTTGTTGCGGTTCTCAATGCTTGTAGTCACACAGGGCTAGTCGACGAGGGCTTAAAGTACTTCGAGTCGATGGTGAAAAATTACGATATTACCCCTGATCAAGAAATTTACGGGTGTGTGGTGGATTTGCTTGGTCGTGCAGGGAGAGTTAAGGAAGCGTATGAGCTTATAGAATCGATGCCTTTTATGCCAGACGAGTTTGTTTGGGGGGCTTTTCTTGGAGCCTGCAAAGCACATAAGCTATCCGAATTGGGGAAGTTGGCAGCTAGTAGGGTTTTGGATTTGAGGTCTAGTGTGGCGGGGACGTATTTGGCATTATCGAATATATACGCGGCTGATGGGAAATGGGGGGATTTTGCGAGGATAAGGAAATTGTTGAGGGGTATGGGGAGTAAGAGAGAGGCGGGGAGGAGTTGGATCGAGGTGCGAACTACGGTTTATAGTTTTGTTGCTGGAGATAAGTTGGGTTTGCATATCGAGTTGGTTTATGAAACGGTGGATGTCCTGAGTTTGCACATGAGAGAAGTTGGATTTATTAATCTTGATTTGGATTGCTTGATTCTTGATTTAGAAGATGCGACTTGAACGAGAAAAAAAAACGGATATTTATATTCTTGTTGTGGTGGAGCTATATAAATGTTTATGATTGGCGCCCAAAAAAAAGGTAGATTAGATTCATTCTTTCATTCATTCAATCTGGTGAAATGATGTATTTTTAGCTACACGGAGCTTTTCGAGTATTGGTCAAGAAAGAAGAAGAATAAGAACAAGTTTCAGCATAACCATGTATACTCGGGAATCGGGATAGACATCAGCTATTGGCTGGCGACGAAAACTAACTGCAGATTTTGATTGTATCAGTAACTTTAATCTTATGTCTCTCTCTTTGCTTTTTTTTTTGGTTCCTTTTCAATTGTTGGTATTTTTAGCATACGGTACCGTACGAAAAATGGTACTAAATTAGGTTACTAAATCATGCCTTGTAAATCGAATTCTAGTTTCCTATGAAGCCAATGCAATTGTTTCTGGTATTTATCAAAGGAAAATTTATCTACCCTTTTGTGACTAGAAGATTATTTGGTTTGTGTTTTTGGTGTTACAGAAAATTAGTTAATTGAGAATGTTCTATTAGTATGAAAATGAAATGGAAAATTTAATGTTTATGTTTAAACGTGTTTCGGGCGAATGATTTGAGAATGAGATCGATTTGAAAATATAAACGACAGGTTGCATATCCAAAAGTAATCGATAACTTCATAAGAAACCGAAAAAGAATTACAAGTGAAGTGTTATAACCTACATTCCTACAACATATACAAAATTGTTAATACGAGAGATTGTTTACAAATACGTGCTTTTCCATCCTCATTGATACACTTGTCCCGGAAAAAAAATTGCATCCACATTCGAATTTGCCGTCACCGACTTCTGAATTTGAGACAATGTAATACTTCCAAGTTGATAAGAAATGGTAATGCATGTTATATTTTGCCTTCGTATTTTAATAAGGCCTCGTTTGGTTGCCAAGATATAATTAGCCAAGATGAGATTAAATAATCTAATGAAAACCCAATTGTTTTATGTTTTATTGGTGCATCATATTTTGGCTACCAATAATCCATGCAAGAACAAGAACCATGCTTGAAATGGTGAAACCGATGCCGATCCCTAATCACAATCTCACGATCAAAAGCTTCGGATACAAGTTTCGCCGCCGCATGGCAATCCCCGCATATTCTCAAATTCTTGATTATTCTTATCGGTGCGGGCCCACTAGTCGCAAAAAGGCCAAACGCAATTGCAAGCTTCTCACTATGCCTAGACAGATTCGTTTCTTTCTCCTCTTCATCTATATCAAGCAAAACCTCACCCACACCAGGCGTATACCCCAATCTCTTCAATCTCCGCCCCATCTCCGCCAGCATCCCGTCAATCTCCTCCATCCGTGGGTGCGATTTATCTCCGGCAAGAAACTCATGCACAACACCATCCGCTTCGATCACACTGCAACCCGGAGTTTTCACCACACCGTGCTGACTCATCATCCCTCTTATCTCCATCACGTTTTCCCAATTACCTTTCGAAGCGTATATGTTCGACAAAAGAACGTGAAACCCATCATGCTCCGGCTCGAGTTGAATGAGCTTCCTCCCTATTCTCTCTCCCGTTTCTTTATCACCGTGTTTCTTGCACGCTCCAATCAGAGCGCCCCATGTGGCAACATCTGGTGCCATTGGCATAGTGTTGATCACTTCCTCTGCTGCCTTAACCAGCCCCGATCTTCCAAGAAGATCCACTAAACACCCGTAGTGCTTAATATTCGGTTCTATGTTATATTCATTCACCATCGAATCGAAATATCGCCGCCCTTCTTCGACTAAGCCCATATGCCTACAAGCACCAAGAACCGCTACAAACGTTATTTCGTTTGGCACAACTCTGCATTTCTTCATCTCCTCAAAAGTCTCGAGAGACTTTCCGACTTGCCCATTAATGGCAAATCCAAGAATTAGAGCATTCCATGAAGAAACTCCCTTTTCCTCCATTCCTTCGAAAACCTCTACCGCATTTTCGACACTCCCACATTTCATGTACATGTTAATAAGAGTTGTACCGAGGATTGTATTCACCTTCAGCCCGTTTTTACGTATGTAAGCGTCTAACCACTTGCCTTGCTCTAGGGCTGCAAGTTGAGTACAAGCTGAAACCACGCTCACCAAAGTGGTTTCGTCTGGCTTAACGCCTGCACACTGCATCTCGTGAAATAACGCTAAAGTCTCGGAAAATTTATCGAATTGGGCGTAACCTGATATCATTGAGCTCCACGAGACAACATCTTTCTCAGGCATTTTATCGAATAGTGCCCTTGCATTCTCGAGCATTCCACATTTGATGTATCCAGAAATCATCGAATTCCAAGATATTAAGTCCAAGTAACGACCGGTATTAAAGAGCTTCTTCGCAGAAAACACGTCCCCGCATATGGAGTACATGTGAATCAAAGCATTTTGCAGATTTACGTAAGTTTCGAAACCGACTTTTACAGCCAAACTATGAACTAATTCACCAGTTCGGATACTCGATAAATGCGAACAAGCAGAAAGAACGGCCACTATGACCACCTCATCCACACTAATCCCATCATTATACATAGTCAAAAACAGATCAAACGCTTCTTCGTACATCATGTTCTGCTCGTAACCCGAAATTAAAGCAGTCCAAGATACTAAATCCTTCTCCTCCATATCGTTAAACAATTGACGTGCCTCACTCACCCTGCCACACTTACCCAACAAAACAATCATAGAATTTGATGCAATGACATTTCTTCTAGGCATCATACCAAACAACAGCTTTGCCTCTTCCACACACCCGCCTAAAACATATCCAGCCAACATTGAATTCCAAGAAACCAAATCTCTAAGAGGACTTTCATCAAACACCTTTCGAGCATCACCAACGCGCCCACACACACTATACATATTTACCAAGTTGTTCACCACATAAACATCTCCCTCGAAACCCATTTTCACCACGTGACCGTGGAGCTCCCTCCCCTCAAACTCGGCGAAACCGACGGAGCAGCCTTGAATCAAGATTGGGTAGGTGTAATTATCAATGCATAAAAGGCCGTCCTTTATCATTGATTTGTACAGAAACATCGAATCCCGGGGCCTGTTTCGCTGCACGAAGGCTCTGAACATGGTGTTCCAAATGAACCCATTTGAATTCTGAACGTTGGTGAAGATCTTGTGGGAGTAATCGATGTGAACGAAGGTTGAGTCTGTGGAGAACTTGAGGATTCTGCTAGCAGCATAGGCGTCGTTGATTAGCCCAGTGCAGATCGTTTGGCATAAGACCTGATTGAAGAAATTGAGATTTCGGCATTGTAAGAAAAGAGTGTCCAAATCTGAGAGAGTTATTGTTGTTCTTGAAGTGGGTTTATAGTTAAGGGATGATTTAATGGCTGAACATGAAATTAACTTTCCCAGACTCATGTATGAAGTTCTTTATGCAAATGAAACAAGTACCGCCTAATCAACAATAAGAAGAGAGAGGGAGAGAGAGCATTCTAATTCAAATTCGCGCCAAACATTTCTTAATTTCTTGATGCGATATAACCGTAAAAGACCGCATAATTGGTACTTTGCACCCTTGAATCACATGTCATTGGTACTTATCATAAATGATGATGAACAAAGTTTTCAATACGCAGACATGGAATATTTATCATAAATGAAGAAGAAGCAATTATGGAATGCGATGAGAGAAAGTCGAAAGCTAGCTTTGGATGACGAGGAGCGTAGGCGATATGAACTTTTATATCCTATTCCTAGTACACTATTGTACTTATAAAATATGTCAATTAATTAATGTTATTTAATTGTAGGGCGTGCTAGTGGTACTTCCAAAGGCCAAACATCAGATGTGAAATGAGAAGTACTCTTTAAGCTTCAGCACAGGAGAAGGACCTACGAAGTATTCACGTGGGGTTGGTCCTTTCATGTTTCCCATCAAAACAAAAAAGTCTCAAACAATGGTTTTCTCCTCAAACATTCAAGCAGAATTGGTAATGCCGTTTCAAAGTGCTTTTTTATTTAATGTTATTTCGTTTCATGATGTTGATAGTGGACTTTATTATCAATCTGTGATAAATACTATTATTGAGGCGACGTCAAATCAGTAGTACATGTCTAGTTCATGAATGATGTGCTTAATTGGATTTGGCCCAAAAGGCCCAAATCAATCCAATTAATCATGACGGTCCAATTACCCTCTTTTACCAATAAACTATAATTCATTTTCCCACATTGGTATTTTACAAAAGTTTTATCTACTCATTCACCTATAAATAAGTGGTTCAATTCACATTTACAAAAGTTTTATCTACTCATTCACCTATAAATAAGTTGTTCAATTCACATAACAAGGTACACACTATTTAGGCAATTACTCAATATCATTTGTTTATATTGTGATAGTTTTCTAATTTAAGCGTCGGAGGATAATTGTCGGGCCAACCCCGGCATGTCTAGGGATGGCAAAAAAACCCGAATCGCTAGCTATCCGCGGGTATCCGCTTCGTTTAAAACCCGTTACCGAAACCATTAGGGTTTGGTAATGGTTTTGGTAAAAGAAAAGAAAACCGTTATGGTTTTGGTATGGTTCTAGTTTTACCTTTACGGTCATGGATACCCGACCATTTAATATATGAATACAAAAAATAATCTGGCAAAATTTTAAATAAAGTTGTAGACATCGAAATTTTGAGATAAATTACTAATTAATAACCAAAATAAATCGGTTATTAATTTAGGTCTCAAATTAAAGTCCATAATATATTTGGGCTTTAAAATGTCTGGCCCACTCTATAAGTCGAGAAACCCTAACCCTAGCTTGTGCCTATAAAAGAAGATCTTTGGTGCATCTAAAAAATCAGACTCACACAGACACATATCGAGCTCTCAAGCTCACGTCTCGAGCCTCCGCCTCGAATTCATAACATATTTGAATTCGTGGTGTTCGTGATAGGAAATCATATATATTTGATTCCTCGAATTCATAACATATTTAAATTCGAGATGTTCGTGATATGAAATCATATGTTCGATTCAAGAACAAGCTTTTAAGCCCTTGAATCAAATTAGAATAGGAGAGAAGAATCAGGGGAATTACGAAGATTGTAATCCGCTTTCGTTTGATGATAAATTGGCACGCTCGGTGGGACCATTTCCGCCCCTCATCTCTTCCTCTGATGTCAAAATTCATGTCCGTTCAACCATCCAATAGAGCGGCTAAGAAATCATTGCTGCTCGTGGTGAATATGGACTGCTGGGCCATTTTTTTTTTTGCAATATTTCGGATTTTTTTTTTGAGAATTGGGGTGATATTGTAATTATTTACAAAAATACAATAAAGCGTCGTTTAAAACGACGCGCTTTAACGGCCGTTGGATTGAGCTGAGATTGACGGCCAGATCTCCTATCTTGTCCTCCTAATCTGACGGCCAGGGATAGATCTCAAGATCTGACGGTCGCTAAAACGCGTCATTTTGAATGACGCGCTTTGACCTGTCAGATGGTCAAACGCGTCATTTAAAACTACGCGTTTTAGCGGCCGTCCGATTCTTCTCGATCTAACGGTCCTGATTTCGGCCGAATATATATATATATATATATATATATATATATATATATATATATATATATATATATATATATATATATATATATATATTGCTGCCTTGCTCCCTTCTTCCCAACACCGTAAGTTTTCTTCCTCTCCCTTTTTTATTTGTTAATTATTATTTATTATTGTTTAATTTTTTTTTTGAGTAATGTTTAATTTATATTTTAACAAATGTAGGTAATTTAATTAATTTCAGCAGGGTACTTATTGAGGTGATTTTTTTCACTCTTTCAATTATTATTATAGTTAAATAGAATTTTAACTATTAATATAATTTTGTTAAATTTTTATTAATAGTGGATTAATGAAATTTTGATCTAATAAATTATCAATTAATTTGGAGATAAATTATTTCTTGTATTGTTAAAATATATATAATTTATTATGAAATTCAAATTTTTATTGTTGTTTTTCGTTGTTATTTTTAGGTTAAACTTTAACTTATGGTGGATTTAAGAAGTAATGTTTGATTGTGTTTAATTTCTGAAATTTAAATTTTTTGTAATGGTTTAAATATGATACGAGTAGAATAATTAGTAGGATAAATTAATTAATTATTAGTGAGTTAGTGGATAAATTGGTAGAATTAGTCATGACATTAGAATAGGTATTACCTCAACAAGACCATAAATCGTCTTTTTTACCATTAATTTCTTAGTGCCATTAATTTTGACCATAAATCGTCTTTTTTACCATAATTAGGATTTAGATTTCAAATTCATGATTTCAAACCGTTCGAATTTATGGATGTTTGGTCAAAATTCAAAATCAATGACTTCAAAATTCTTTTTTTTTTCTTTTCAATTTATGAAAATTGTAAAATTACACTTTAGCCCCTCAAGTTTACATCAGTTTCACTTTTGATCCTATGTTTTAATAATTTAACATATTTTTATCATTTTTTTTTTAAATAATGTCTGAAATTTAAATTTTGGTGTGTTTTGATTGTTATAATTAGGTGAAATGTAATTTGTTGTGGATTGAGAAGGGATTTACGCTGCTAGCAAATAATAATTATTTGGAGGTATTTATTTGTTATATTGGACAAATATTATTATTTTTAATTGCTGAAATTTTAATTTTGTTTTTTATTGTTATAACTAGGTGGAAGCTTAATTTGTGGTGTTTTGAGAAGGGATTTTTGTAGCTAGCAAATAATAATATTTTGAAGGTAATTATTTGTTATATTGTACAAATGTAGTACAACTTGGAGCTATTTTTTCCCCCATTTTTAAATAATTGCTGAAATTTTTATTTTGATGGTCTTTTTATTATAAATAGGTGGAAGTTCAACTTGTGGTGGATTGAGTAGTGATTGTGGGTGCTAGCAAATCTACAATTATCTTTGAGGTAAATTAAATATTTTATTGGTTAATTTAAGTCTTACTTGAATGATAATTTTGCTAATTTATACAAATTGTTTGTTTTTAACTGGTTAGTGTTATATGAATATGTCGAAAAATTACGAGTTACACAATGTGTTTAGGATTTATAATATACAAATTAATAGTTTTGGAACTATCAAATTATAAAAAGAATTAGAAATTTTTAAATATTAATTGTTTGTTTTAACTGATTTATAATATAACATAAGTGTTTGTAGCTATAAAAAGAAATAGAAAATATTAAATATTTCGAAATAAAAATAATAATCTCAAAATATCAAAATATAGGGTTTTAATGGCAACTCCGGGTAGGAATACTGTCAAAGTTTTCGTGTACATAGGAGGCCAGATTGTTTATGATGGATTGTCAGTGAATTATGATCAATCTCATCATACAGTCGTACGAGTGAAACGCGATATATCTTTCTCAGACTTCTTGGCGAAAATATACTCACGTTGCCAAATAGATAGAAATGAATTTGTGTTATCGGTGTCGGGCAAAATATCACGATGATATCAAAATCAGTGGAGCGAGATAGTTTCTCAGATAACAAGTGATGATGATTTAGAAATCTATTTGCACCCGGATGAAGGAAACGATTCCATAGATGTTTATGTTGAGTCTCAGCCTTTATACAATCCTTTGATGCCTTCACAATTCACTACATCAGAGCCTCTCTACTCCCCTTCGAGACCTTCACAATTCAATACATCAGAACCTCTATATTCCCCTTCGAGACCTTCACAATTCAGTACATCAGAACCTCTCTACTCCCCTTCGAGACCTTCACAACATTTTGATTTGAATGATGCGTACAATTCATTTATGCAAACAAGTCCTGAGTTAGTTGCGGTTACACAAGGGTTTTCTAATATGGGTTTTGAAGCGGGGCCATCGAGGCATTCTTATCGAAATCTTGGGGTACATATTGGGGAATCAAGTGGCAAGAGAAATGCTCATGAAAATTTTGATCTTCCTAATGAAACTCGTCATTGTGATAATAATGATGACGATGATCCTTTCGGAGACGCACATGGGCCAAATGTTCGAAGCGACTCTGAACCCTCCGACCATGGAGAGGATGATGATAGTGGTGAAGAGAACAATGATGAGAATATCGAAGCCGTTGATGACGTTGTACAAACAATATCGCAGGCAGAAATTCCATCAACTTCCCATGTTCATGTCAGCAATCCATCATTTGCAGAACCTCCTACTCAGTTTTATGATCCACTTTCGTACTACTCTCTGTCATTTCCTGAAATCCCAGCCGATTCCATTGATGTTCCGTCGGGTATGTGGTCAAAATTTTATGATAGCACCAAAGGTACTCTCGAAAAGGGGATGGTTTTTGATAGTAAAGCAAGGGTCATTTCAGCCGTTAGAGACCACTCCATTCGATTTGCCAGAAGAGAGTTTAAAGTTATCGAAAGTACAAAAAGAACTTGGAAGGTTATCTGCAAACACGACACTGAAGCAAGACCTTGCAGATGGATCCATCTGCAAGTATTGTTCACCATTATGAAACAAACACCATAACGCAAATGTAAATGCCATAATCAAAAATTAATTTCCTACCGAAATAATTGACCCCTAATAAATTAGGGTCGATAAAATATCTTCAATTCTTCTGGATGTGAACTCATTGCCCCTTTGAGATTGCGTCTTCATGCTTGTTGCTGAGAGAAGTGAAAATTTGCTAAAAGGTTATTTAATTTATATTTTTGTGGGATAATTCTTAATTCAATAGAGAGACAATGGAGAAGAAGAAATCAAACCTGGGAATGAGAAGTGAGTTGCAACAGTACATCGAAATGAGACTACAAGCACAAGAGAAGAAT